CCCAGAATCACCCTTCTGGTTCCAGCCGTAGGAAGATGATGGCGGTTGGCAGAGCTGCTGGCATTTTCAATTCATCCAGTTGGGAGGGCTTGCAAACTGGACCAGTTACGCAGGCAAACGGGTGGGCTAAATCCACCCAGGAGGGGGTTATATTGGGCAGAGGGGGGCTCTTCTCTACCTGGGTCCTTTTGGCACCGTTAAGTAGCCAAGAGGCAGGACCTCTGGGTTTGGCCCGATGACTTGGTTGACTGGCGCAGGAATTGGGTACGTCTAGTTTAATGAAAAGAAGGACCGGGATCAGCATGGTAGCATCTTCCGGTATCTAAGGGGCTGCCCCAAAGAAGAGAGGCAGTCAAGCTATCCTCCAAAGCCCCTGAAGGCAGGACAAGAAGCAACGGATGGACAACCAATCGAGGAGAAATGCAACCTGAAACTAAGGAGAAACCTCCTAATAGCGAAGAACAAATTAACCAGAGGAACTACTTGCCACCAAGAAATCCGTGGGTTCTCCATCACGGTAGGATTTTAATAAGAAATTGGATAGGCGTTTATCTGGAATGGTATAGGGTCTCCTGCCTGAGAAGGGGGTTGGACTAGATGACCTCCAAGGTGGTGTGTGATGGCTATTCAGGTCGAAGCTATTTGCCTAGCAGGTGGAAATATTTGTGTGAATTTTGGTTTCATGGTGGGGGTTTTTTTGTGTGTGTGCTTTCTCTGATCCAGCCAAATTTTGGCTGCTGTGATAAGATGATAAGATAATGAATGAATGAATGAATGAATGAATGAATGAATCATCCATCCATCCATTCATCCATTCCATTCCATTCCATTTATATAGCCACCCATTTTGTATCCACAACTCTGGACAGCTAACGACAACAATAAATTTCCTGGGATTTGTTTCCCACAAAATGTCATTTTTTTTGCAACCTTCTGACAAGCAAATTTTGCAGCCTTCTGACGAGCGAAGTCAATGAGGAAGCCAGATTCACTTAGAAACCGTGTTACTAACTGAACAACTGCAGCGAGTCACTTAGCAGCTGTGATAAGAATGTTTGTAAAAACGGAGCAAAATTTGATTAACAAAGGTCTCACTTAGCAACTGAAATTTGGTTAAGTGAGTCACTGCAGCTGTTGTGAATATTAATGGACAGTTAACCAATGGAACTACTTGCCACCAGAAGTGGTGGCTGCTCCAAAGACTGGAGGTTTTCAAGAAGAGATTGGACAAGATTTGTTTGAAATGGTATATAGGGTCTTCTGTTTTCAGCGGGGGGCTGGACTAGAAGACCTCCATGGTTCCTTCTAGCTCTTATTCTGATTCTGATTGCTTTCCCATCTATGTGATGACCCAGGGTGTGGCACAAAGGCAGCCCAGTCAGATCATCAGTAGGAGTCTCTTTATTAGCTCCAACTTGGCCCCCAATGTCCTGGTTACCTTCTGGGCTGGAGAAAAACTCTCCCAGGAACAGCCCTGGGCTGCAGAGAATCAAGTCCCAAACATGGTCAACAAAAACTAACTTAAACTCCAATCAAGGTAAAATGAGGTAATTAGTCCAGCAGGGCAGGAGCAAGAATTCCAGATGTGAAGGCACAACAATAACTCAACACTGTTGGGAGGATGCCAGGAACTCAGATAAGCAAAGTCAACACAAGATAAATTCATGTTTGTTGATGTCGCTCTCAGCATGCATCTCTTTTAAACTCTCATTCTCAGGCGTCCTAATGAAGGGAATCAGGGCCCTTTCCTCCCCCCGTAAGCCACGCAACCCACGTTGCTCCCTTCTCCGTTCCTCCCTGCGTGCCCTAGGATGAAGAGGGGGTGGGCCTGGGACTTCCTCTGAACTCCCTCTCCCTTGTTCTACCTCTCCCCTGCTCTGCCCAGCCGGACTTTGCCCTTCCCCCAGTTCCCTCCACAGCCAACGGAGCCACCGCTCCCGCTCCCTGTGTTGGCTGTTCGGATTCAGACTCCGACAGGGGCAGGACCATCCGTTTGTCACCTTACTCTCTTCCCCCATCAGGACCTTCTCAAACATACTTCAGAGGAGCATCCGGATTACCCTTTTTTGATAGAAGCCCAGAAGAGCATCAAGCAGGTAGCCGAGAAGATCAACAAAGGGATGAAGAGCGCAGAGGAACTGGAGCGGAACGCGCGGATAGTGCAGGAGATCGAATCCCACATCGAGGGCATGGAAGACGTAAGTTCTCTACTCCTCAGATCGGGTGGAGTCCTCTCCACTAATTCGTCACGGCTTAATTTACGGTCAGCTGCACCAAAGGTCCGTCTTGGTGGATCTGAAAAAAAAGAAATATATGGGGGGGTCCTTGGTGCTCTGTGAACTCGACGGTTTTCTAGCAGACGTTTCATGACCCAACTAGGTAACATCATCAGTGTTAGGAGGGAAGAGGGTTGTGGAATGGAGGATAGTGAGAGGAGGAGGAGGAGGGAAATTGTGGGGTCTTTGGTGCTCTTTGCAGACGTTTCATGACCCAACTAGGT